TGGGTAGCCTGCAAAGGAGGGAAAAAGGTGTATCACTAAAATGAAAAGCGAGAGAGAAGAAACCAAGGCAAAAATTAACTCACCACCAGGGAATTCTGGATGATAGAGCGGAACAACACGTTGGTTGATCGCCCCCTATGAGCCGCCATGTCAGCCTCGAAATGCAGTGTCTCACTCACTGCATTGGCGACATGAGGATCCAGCAAAATGGAATCATCGACCTTGATCACTCGGTTCATGTGATCGGTCGCTCGGGGATTCCACTCCGCGGCTTCCACTGTCGGCGGAAGGGAAGAGGGTGTCTGCTGCTGCTGTTGTTGCTGTTGTCGTTGTTGTTGCTGTTGTTGCTATTGCAGGGGGTAACCCACGGCCTCTCCCACTTTGCTGCTGAGCGGAAGGTGCCCTGGATCCTCTGCCAAGGCCATCGTGCCGATGTTTGACCCTTCTCTCCTCCTCTACCTGAGGATCCCGGTCACGCACTTGACCCCGACTGAGAACTCTTGAGGATGGGGTGGAACTGGTCCCTGCAGAGGGGGCGCCGCCGGTCGATCCTCGACCCCTCCCGGCAGCAAGGGCTTGCCTCTGCCTCAGGAACCCCAGGTCAATGCGAGGCGTGCTGGACATCGCGACCTCGAGGGCGTCCTCGGCGTCTAAAGATTGTAGAACTTGGAAGTCTGGCCACAAGTCTCCTCCCGAAGTCCCCACCTCGGCGTCCGAAGGAACAACGTCCTCTCTGACCCCGAGCTCTTCAGCAACTCCCTCTACCTCTGCCTCCGAAGCCCGATCCGGGTCTTCCTCCAAGTTTTCCTCAACCTCTAGCCTCGCCGCCTGATCGAAGAGTTCAGACCACCGCGAAGGCTCAAAAGGCTGAGGAAGCTGTGAAAATTTCTTATACCCGGGGGTATAATTCAGCAGGATGTGAGCAGCACGGCCAAACCCGTTGTCACCCGTGAATCTCCAAACCGTGATTAGGTCGGCAAAGTTCACCAGCGACCGAGGGGGAGGAGCTGTTTCCCGAGCAGGAATATCTGCACAAACAAAAAAGTAGTCATGAACATGGGAAGTCTGGAGAAAGAAATAATAAACCCAAAGGAACCGACGTACTTGTCGTTCTCCATTCCAGAGGGCATAACAAGTCATTATACTCGGGACCAACACCTCTCTGCCAAGATCCCTTGAAGATAAGAATATCATCCTTGTACCCCTTGTCCGAGTCGGGAAGATGGGTTACAAGGTACATGGAGGGGTCCCTGGCTTTGAGGTAGAAGTGTTGGTGAGGCATGACTCTCAGGAGGGAATAACAAAAAAGGAGATCGTTGAGCCCAATATTTACCCCGAGGCGCCTATTGAGCTCTAAGACCCCCATAATTATTCGGAAAACATTAAGGCAACATTGCCCGGGGAAGAGGCGGAAGTGAGAAAGGAACTGAAGAAGTAAGGGGGGTAAAGGAAACCTAATTCCTCCCTCTATTATGGCCTTGGTATAAAAGGGCATAGCATCCTCGGCCCCGAGGGTAGAAGAGTGCACCACCGGGTCATAATCCTCTACGTCTACGCACGGGGGAATGCCGTACTTGACCTTAAACCTATCAATCTGCTCACCACCCTTTACTTTATACTTCCCCGACCCCGAAGAACCAGCCTGAGGATTCTCGGGAGCAGGGCGACGACGAGGCATCTCTAAGAAAGTGAGAAAATAGAGGATGTTTGTTCTTAAAAATTCCTGAGAAAGTTTCCCGAGGGTTAATCGCTATGTATCAACCGGAGACACCTCCAGTCATCGAAAAACAAAAGGATAGGAGGAAAAAAAGAAGGAAGATACTGGAACTCACCCGAATGTCAAACGGAGTTTTTTTTCTGGAAAACCTTAAAGTGACTCCTTCCAGAAAGTTCAGAAGCAACGATGGGTCTGCTGGCCTTAAGACTTTAAGGAAGAATGGGCAGTCGACGATGGAAGAAGAAAGAGATCTCCGGCGAAGATTCAAGAAAAGGCTCTCTTGAGGAAGTTCAGAATGGCAAAACAAGAAAACGGAAGAGAAGCCCCATTTATATAGAGGCAATTTCATCATTGGGCGCGAAAAATGAAATGGCGCATTTAATGCGCACGACATCCCAAGCCGGGGAAAGCGGCTCGAGGCAATGATGAAGCATTTGTGGTGGTTGGGAAACCCTTCGTCTCCTTACGACACGTGCCCTCGGTGTCAGAAGATCGAAGGTTGGGGGGCAGTTGATGGGACTTTTCTAAAATACCTTATGATGAAGACACGTGTCCTCGATATTACTAAAACACTGTTGCTAAGATTAAGCACCATCGGCGCACAAAGGTCCTCGCCCCCGAGGTACTCGTCATATAGGAGCATGCATTTCAGTATGTTTTACAACCGACACGTGGCCTCGGTCTGATATGGTACCTCGGTCGGTATCCCCTCCCTCGATTCTGAGATCAGCCTCTCCTCGGTGCCGAGGTGTACCATCCTAGACGCCTCCTCTACTCCAGGATAAGCTATTGACGTACAGGTCATTAGCCTAGGCTATTCATCATGACCTCGTCTTACACAATTAGTGTCAGAACGTACTGGAATGCAGGGGCCACAGCCAATGAGGGATGGGCGCGTGGCATATGATATCACNTTGTCTTACACAATTAATGTCAGAACGTACTGGAATGCAGGGGCCACAGCCAATGAGGGATGGACGCGTGGCATATGATATCACATCGAAGACAGAGAAATCGCATGCCGTTGCTGACACGCGACTTGGGAAAGCAAACGATTAATTACACCATTCCCTTGATGAGACCGCATTCAATGCGGTAAGGCTCGGAAATGAAAGGCAATAAATGCTCCTAATACAGAGCATTTATTGCATCCTCCCCGAGAGGAGTACATTGTACCGTCGGCATCCCGATGACCCAGCATTGATTGCTCGGGACCCCGAGCAGTTAAGAAGAGAAGACATTCCTCATCAGAATCAGTGCGCACACTGCCTGTACCTAATGATCACCTACTGACTACACTGACAGCAATCATGAGCTTTTGAGGTATAAATACTCCTTGCAAAAGGCAAGACGGGGATGCAACAAAAAACTCTTTACAACAATACTCACTCAGTGTTTTCTCCTTCCTCTCCCTTTCTAAAAGACTGACTAGATCGTCGGAGCGGATACGCCGGAAAACACTCCGGCGCCCTTCTAACTTGTTCTTCTTTGTTCCATGAACCTCTTTCAACCTTACTGGATCGTTCTTCCGTTCCCCTAGGGTCTCCCGTTGCCGTTCCAGGTTACCACCGGACCTCGCAGGCTGTTTCAAGCAGTGTGTTTGGTCACTCAACCGCCTCACTCGAGTTCACCAAGAGAGAGATCTGTTCTCGTTTTTCATATTGTGCAGGATCTTGAATGCACATATATATAAACCAGCCAGATAGAGATTATGCAGCTACCACTACTCCTAAAAAGGTAATCCATATGGATATAGGATAACATTTTTTATACACAATAATATGCAATAGAATATAGGATATGGTATCGAAAAGTTTATACCAAAAAACAAATTTAAGTCCTAATTTCCACGTGTCATATAGGGATTGAACGAAAAAGATGTATGATACCATAGTCTAACCTAGATGTTTATATATGTGTATATATCTGCCCATATAAAAGGGTTTGCAGATGGGGGACGGCACCGTCCAATGCCCATTACAGAAGGTAATGCATAATCAACTTTTTGGTATCTGTGTGTGTGTGTGTGAGAGAGAGAGAGACAGAGAGAGGGACTTACATTTCTCGGTTAGGGTCACCCCAATTGTACCAGCCTTTTGGGATGATAATGTTGTCCATATATGTATAGGCAAAGACTACCCTAGAGAAGGGACCCCATGCCCTCCCTAGGTACAGTGCCCCTGACCCCGTGACCTTACAGTTGAGAAATGAGAAGCCAGTGTCTTCTAAGAGGCTACTCCTTCCCTGTGCTGTAAGTGCCCCTGTCACTGGTGCTATTGCATGCACGTGACATCCCTACAAATTAAAACCACCATAATCTATCAGGCAAAACACCTAGTAAAGCATAAATATTAGGGATATTCCTGTATATTATTAATTACAGATACATCCTTCTAATTTTTTCAAATTTTACTACGTTCCCTTGTAGTTTATTTAGTGAAAGTATCCAATTGTTAGAGACTTTATCGATGAATCGAAAAACAAAAACGTGGGAAAATCACCGAATTTCCTCTTCTAATTTCGATTTTTCCCTCCAATACAAACCTATGTCGAATCTTTTTCTCTTTCACACACAAGTCCACACTAATTTTATTCCAATACAATTGTACTTTCGTATAATAATGCGTTTTTTCGGCATTGTAAATAGAGGACTAAAAGCACATTATTTTGAAAAAAAGGCATGATTTCCACAATCTTTAAAGAAATAAACTAAAAGGATTCTCCGGTACACGAGTCTCCCACTATGAATTGTTAAAATTTTTACACGCATATATTTATACATCCACACACACATATATATATATTTAAAAATTGTATACTATAAACTGGAGCTCCTTACCCTATTCCAAAGATTTCACTTGCCCAAGGAAGAGTCCATTGTTTGGATTAGATGTACTGTGCTTCCATACCCTATTCCCTCCTATATATCCCTCTATTGAATTAGACCACTTACAGTTCCACTAAAAGGTTTAATATTTATAATTTTGATGATTTTTTTACTATGTTATTATGCATGCCACTAAAATTAGAATAGTTGATCCTTCCTTCTGCACAGATGTTCCGTTAAATGGGGACCATCTGGATTTTAGGTCCAAATCTTTTTTTATTCTGTTGATGTGACCTGCAGAATAAGAATGCAGGCATGCATTTAATTGTAGGGATGCAATTTGGGTCCGGTTGAGAGGTAAATTCAAAACCAAGGGAAGTTATAAAACTCTCATCTCCAGTTCAATACAAACCTGTCAATTCGTGTTTAAATTTTTGAACTCGAATTACCCAATTCATTTTGCAGTTTGGGTTCAATCTTTGAGTTGACATTCGGACTTAGATCGGGTTTGATCTTCATATTACACAATTCGAACTTGAATTTGGATTGTGTTTTTCAAAGATTTGAGACCCCAACAAGACTACTATTCGGATTTAAATCTTAGTTGAAAATTTTAAACTAAAAAATAAAAATTATTTTTGATTAAATTCAAGTTGACCCTATTGAACCTCTCACTCTGTTTCTCATTACTTCAGTTAGGCAAGAATGTAGGTACCTCAAACAGAGAGAGCCCATTGCCAAAGATGAAATCCACAGAGCCTTCAATGTAACAGTCCTTGTAGTAATGCCTACCCATATGATCATAGAGTGTGTCCTGTGCACCCAAAAACCTACAACCTAGAAAAGCTGCTGTATCTGCTGATATTCTAAACGCTACTGCTTGCTTTCCAATGGCTCCTGGCGCTGGTACTGGTGTGGTGTTCTGCATTACACATGCTTCTATAATCAATGATATATTGAGGAACGACTATGGTATCGAAGATGGTATCATATTGAAAATTACAATGTTTAAAGATTAAGTTAAAATTATTTAGGTCTAAGCTACGAGCCTACAACTCAAAAAAAATATAATTTACAACTCTAAAACTTATGATTCATCACAGAATAGTGTGATCAATCACGATACAAAATATTTTACAAAAATCAAATTACAACTAATTGAGGTTATTCGTAGTAACTTGTATTTTGCAAGGTGTATNAATTTTACTACGTTCCCTTGTAGTTTATTTAGTTAAAGTATCCAATTGTTAGAGACTTTACCGATGAATCGAAAAACAAAAACGTGGGAAAATCACCGAATTTCCTCTTCTAATGTTGATTTTTCCCTCCAATACAAACCTATGTCGAATCTTTTTCTCTTTCACACACAAATTCACACTAATTTTATTCCAATACAATTATACTTTCCTATAATAATGCGTTTTTTCGGCATTGTAAATAGAGAACTAAAAGCACATTATTTTGAAAAAAAGGGCATGATTTCCACAATCTTCNTGAAAGTATCCAATTGTTAGAGACTTTATCGATGAATCGAAAAACAAAAACGTGGGAAAATCACCGAATTTCCTCTTCTAATTTCGATTTTTCCCTCCAATACAAACCTATGTCGAATCTTTTTCTCTTTCACACACAAGTCCACACTAATTTTATTCCAATACAATTGTACTTTCGTATAATAATGCGTTTTTTCGGCATTGTAAATAGAGGACTAAAAGCACATTATTTTGAAAAAAAGGCATGATTTCCACAATCTTTAAAGAAATAAACTAAAAGGATTCTCCGGTACACGAGTCTCCCACTATGAATTGTTAAAATTTTTACACGCATATATTTATACATCCACACACACATATATATATATTTAAAAATTGTATACTATAAACTGGAGCTCCTTACCCTATTCCAAAGATTTCACTTGCCCAAGGAAGAGTCCATTGTTTGGATTAGATGTACTGTGCTTCCATACCCTATTCCCTCCTATATATCCCTCTATTGAATTAGACCACTTACAGTTCCACTAAAAGGTTTAATATTTATAATTTTGATGATTTTTTTACTATGTTATTATGCATGCCACTAAAATTAGAATAGTTGATCCTTCCTTCTGCACAGATGTTCCGTTAAATGGGGACCATCTGGATTTTAGGTCCAAATCTTTTTTTATTCTGTTGATGTGACCTGCAGAATAAGAATGCAGGCATGCATTTAATTGTAGGGATGCAATTTGGGTCCGGTTGAGAGGTAAATTCAAAACCAAGGGAAGTTATAAAACTCTCATCTCCAGTTCAATACAAACCTGTCAATTCGTGTTTAAATTTTTGAACTCGAATTACCCAATTCATTTTGCAGTTTGGGTTCAATCTTTGAGTTGACATTCGGACTTAGATCGGGTTTGATCTTCATATTACACAATTCGAACTTGAATTTGGATTGTGTTTTTCAAAGATTTGAGACCCCAACAAGACTACTATTCGGATTTAAATCTTAGTTGAAAATTTTAAACTAAAAAATAAAAATTATTTTTGATTAAATTCAAGTTGACCCTATTGAACATCTCACTCTGTTTCTCATTACTTCAGTTAGGCAAGAATGTAGGTACCTCAAACAGAGAGAGCCCATTGCCAAAGATGAAATCCACAGAGCCTTCAATGTAACAGTCCTTGTAGTAATGCCTACCCATATGATCATAGAGTGTGTCCTGTGCACCCAAAAACCTACAACCTAGAAAAGCTGCTGTATCTGCTGATATTCTAAACGCTACTGCTTGCTTTCCAATGGCTCCTGGCGCTGGTACTGGTGTGGTGTTCTGCATTACACATGCTTCTATAATCAATGATATATTGAGGAACGACTATGGTATCGAAGATGGTATCATATTGAAAATTACAATGTTTAAAGATTAAGTTAAAATTATTTAGGTCTAAGCTACGAGCCTACAACTCAAAAAAAATATAATTTACAACTCTAAAACTTATGATTCATCACAGAATAGTGTGATCAATCACGATACAAAATATTTTACAAAAATCAAATTACAACTAATTGAGGTTATTCGTAGTAACTTGTATTTTGCAAGGTGTATCGGTGGGTCTTTGGTTCAATAGTACTTCTTACTTTGTGAAAGTTTTATTTTCTTGAAATTAAGAGTTCAAGCCACCTCCTCCTTCCCTCCCAAAAAAAAAAAAAGTATATTGCAAGGTGTAACTTATCTCTCAATGCCATTCCTACAGATATGTATATAAATATACGTATAGATAGATAGAGAGAGAGGGAGAGATTTCTGCCTTAAATGTGATGTTCTTGGCTATGAAATATGGGGAATTCGCAGCAAAAGTTGCAGAAGCAAAGGTTCCTAGTGGAAGCCCTTTTGGCCCAGGGGTTTGAGCTGTATCTCCCCATTGGACAATTGTTTTTTCTGCTCCTGCTCCTTCTATGGTGATGAATGATTTCAATGGAGGTATATTAACTTTTTCCCTGAAAAATTTTCATTCTTGAATGAAACAGATTAAGATATAAGATAGTAACAATAAACATCAGAAACAAAAAGTTAAATCCAAAAAGAAAAAAACAAAAGAGTACAATTGGCTCTCACTAGTCGAAGACCAATTCTGTGAATTTTGATCCGAGAGAAAAAAGACAAAGCCACAAACACAGCCACGTTCCTTTATCACATGACCACAATTCACAAAATTTGAAAAGTGAACACCTCCCAAAACCAACTAACAATGTGTGTGTGAGAGAGAGAGAGAGAGATTCCAATGAAAGCACAAGAATTGAGTCCAGAACTTACGTGTAAACTCCTGCATGAACTTTGATCACAACTCTCAGAAGATTAACGAAAGGAAGAGAATCAATAGCATCTTGAATGGAAGTAAAGTCTCCGGCCGCCGGATTTTTATCAACGGTGACAGTGTAAGAAGGGAAGAGCTTGTTGTTTGCTGTGTTGAAGAGGGTGTGTTTGAGGCTACCAACAAAACTGACCCACTTCATGAATTGCTGTTCTGAGTATTGGGTTTGTGTCATATTTGCTGTTAATTGCTTCCCTGAAGTCTTCTTTGGTCTAATGCCATTGCTGTGGCATTGTATATAACTTGCAGTAAGAAGAGAAATAAAAATAATAGTGTTGAAAATAAGTTTGAAACTAGACATGCTGAAGAAATGGAGGATGAGAATAAGAATGAGAGATATAGAGAGAAAGTATAGAAAGGAATGTTGTTTTGGACTTTGAAAGTGCATTAGAAACTGGCTTGTGTAATGATTTATATATCAGTCAGTAACTACTCTTTTGGGTCCGACTAACTATTGTGTTTTGTCTTGGAAAAATTACTTTTTTAGTACTATATTTTTTTTTTNACCCCAACAAGACTACTATTCGGATTTAAATCTTAGTTGAAAATTTTAAACTAAAAAATAAAAATTATTTTTGATTAAATTCAAGTTGACCCTATTGAACCTCTCACTCTGTTTCTCATTACTTCAGTTAGGCAAGAATGTAGGTACCTCAAACAGAGAGAGCCCATTGCCAAAGATGAAATCCACAGAGCCTTCAATGTAACAGTCCTTGTAGTAATGCCTACCCATATGATCATAGAGTGTGTCCTGTGCACCCAAAAACCTACAACCTAGAAAAGCTGCTGTATCTGCTGATATTCTAAACGCTACTGCTTGCTTTCCAATGGCTCCTGGCGCTGGTACTGGTGTGGTGTTCTGCATTACACATGCTTCTATAATCAATGATATATTGAGGAACGACTATGGTATCGAAGATGGTATCATATTGAAAATTACAATGTTTAAAGATTAAGTTAAAATTATTTAGGTCTAAGCTACGAGCCTACAACTCAAAAAAAATATAATTTACAACTCTAAAACTTATGATTCATCACAGAATAGTGTGATCAATCACGATACAAAATATTTTACAAAAATCAAATTACAACTAATTGAGGTTATTCGTAGTAACTTGTATTTTGCAAGGTGTATNTATATATCAGTCAGTAACTACTCTTTTGGGTCCGACTAACTATTGTGTTTTGTCTTGGAAAAATTACTTTTTTAGTACTATATTTTTTTTTATGTAATAAAAAATGTAAGAGCTCTTTGCACTTTGCACCTTGAAGGATTTTAATTTTTTTTTATTTTACACTCTTAAAAATTAAATTTTTTACATTGTATCCTCAATATATCAAAATTATTTTAATATGACCCTTTTATTAGTTTCTGTTATTTTTTTTGTCAAAAGTCAATTCATTAACACTGACGTAAAAACTAATAAAAAATTAACAGAAGAACCACATTGTAACATTTTTGCTACATTTTGAGTGTAATATGAAAAATTTAATTTTTAAAAGTATAAATTAAAAAACTTAAAATCTTTTAGGTGCAAAGTGTAATTTACCCAAAATGTAATACGCATAAATTTTTTTTAATTTATTCTATTTTTTTATTTTCACAATTAATAACTGCAAAAGAATTAAAACAAGATGTATGACTAAACATTATTTTTCTTGTGATATCAAAAAATAATTTTCCAATAGTTTTGGCTATCAAAGACTTTATTCGTACTTTTTTAGGTGGAAAGTGATGTTGAAGTTGAGAATTATGACATGGAGTGAGAGAGTGAAAGGTCACGGGTGCTTCCACTGACATCAATGTAGATAGAGAGAGAGAGAGAGAGAGAGAGAGAGAGAGAGAGAGAAGATCACAGGCAAACAACCTAGGCCACAAGACAGCTTCCCACGAGTGCACTTTCTGGTTAAGAAATTGTCTGTTGCTAAAAATTTTGCTTACTGTTTGTTGTTAGTGCCCGTGAGTGTGTGTCTGTTTGTGTGTGAAGGTGAATATATTCGCATGAGATTAAAAGCATAGGCTGCTTCTGAATTATAATACTATTTTTTTTCAACGATCAAGATTGTTCGTTTCAATTTATTCGTACCTTAATTAATTTTTTTTCTAATTCGGCCAAAGACATCACACCGGAACTAACGAATTTTATGAAAAATAAATTTCTTATAACCTAACCTCAAGAAATTGACAACATTCAAACTCAGGCCATGTTAATTTACAATCCATTCGTGTTACTATTTGAACTACTCTGAATTATAATAGTATCTTATCAATAGATTAAATGAACTTATCCGTTTATCACTTAAACTCGCTAATAAATTCACTCGGTAATTCCTTTAAAATTTAATGTTGGGTTCAGGCATCGTGCCAGGAAATATTGGTAAATACTTTCTCCTTCGTAACAACACTGGATGATCAAATCACATCCTAAATAAATACATCCTCGGGAAATATACGGAACATTAGATTATAGGAGCAGGAGTAAGCAGTGTTTCTTTTATCATGACAATTTGGATGGTCCAGATAAGATGGATCACTCCATTTGCATTGTGAAATGGTGAAAACGAGAAGTGGCTTTTGGATCAAATGGGCTAAGAGATAGTCCACTTAAGAGAAAAAAAAAACTTGGGCCCAGTTGATGGATTGGACCTGACTTGGGCGGTTAGGTCATAAAAAATAAATTACTCTTTGAGGAGTCTAACGATGTACCGGTTTTTTTTTCCCCAATAAACGTCTCCACTACGGTTTTTTTTTTTTTTTACCACAGAATGATCAGACTTATACCGATTACTCCTTCTAGCTTAAATATTAGTCATCATAGCCTAAACAAATTTAGAACATTTTCCTTGAGAAATAAGAGCAACTAGCATTTAATATGTATGAGAAGTGTTAAACGTAAAACCTCTAAGTTATCAGATGTCAAACTTATCCACTAAATCACTTATAAAAATTCTAATATGTATCTTTTACGCTCACAAGAATTACATAAATTTAAAATATGCATCGTTAATTACAAATGATGCATGTCAAGTCAATCAAAATGAATGTCTATGGTAAAACTCCAACTCAAGCCCTCAAGATATTAATAATTGAAACTCTTATCGGTCAAACTACCCTAGAACGATTTTTGTTGTGTGCCATGAAGTGTACAAAATGCCAAAACATTTTTTGTTTTTTGTGCAGCCCCCACGAAACTTGTAGCTTTACAGGTGGAAGAAGCATTCCCCATAAAGATCCCAGAAGTCTCGGCATGTATCTCAGAAATCACAAGAATGTATCTTCTCATAAAGAGGAAAATCCCGGAAATCTCAACAGAAAGACACAATCGTAGTGTTTTACTAAAATCCCTGTGCTGTTCTAATGCTTTTATCGCTCTAAAAATCATTAATTAACAGAAAATCAGTAAGTCTACAACTCCAATAGTTAGGTCACGGCATTAAGAATCTCACTGAATCAAAGATTCCAATTCATTTTAGTACTATATTGCCTTGATTTTGAAGATAATAAAAATAGATCTTCCCCAAGAGACAATTACCGATTTAACATTGAGTGAAATCGAGAAATTTAATCCTTGCGGTAGTTTATTATTACAGGCTAATAGACAGAGCAACCACGTTTAGATCTCTGGCCTCTTCCTATGACCTACTGCTAACAAAGTTCAGGAGTTCCATAACAAATTGCAGAAAAAGATGACTGTGAGTGCTGCACACCACAATTTCTTTGTGGGTCCCATTGGGCATACATACCTTATACACTCAAACAGTAAGATAATGACTACATTTTTGAAGATAGTGATATGTGACATTTAATATACATATATTCCGATACCATTTGGCTTTATCTTCTTCACAGGTTTTGTCAAAGTACCAAAGATTCAACATCCATCCAATTATTTATCGATTAAAAGTAGAAAAATAATAGAGCCGTGAAATAATGTCATTTCTGCCTCCATTTAGAATTGGAAAGGACCCAAAAAACAACACCCAACATAAGAATTGTCAATGGAATCATTAAAAAATAATTCCTCTCTCTCTCTCTCTCTCTCTCTCTCTCTCTCTCTCTCTCTCTCTCTCTCTAGTTTCCTCAATTAGTGTCTCAAAGCTTTTCTTGCGATCAACTACCAGACCCACTTCACAAAGATCATTCCCAACTATTGAGAACTCACTGAGAATATTTATCAAACACCCAGAGAAACAAAATCGATGTTAAAGGCGGCAACCACCACCTTCATAGCCATAGTCACCTCTTTCCTCTTCTTTTCATCCCCACCAAAGTCTTTCTATCACTCCCTATTCATATCCGATTCCCTAGCAGACAATGCATCAATATCACAACACCTCTACATCCTCACTCGGCGGCCCCATGTCGCTGGCACCCAAGCCAACGCTGAAGCCGCAGCTTATGTTCTATCCATTCTTACTTCCTACAACATCGGATCACACATAGCATCCTATGATGTGTTGTTATCATACCCTGTATCGCGTTCCTTAACACTAACGCGTCCACCACCAAACCCACCTATTACTTTTGATCTCCGCCAGGAAATCTACGATGGCGACCCATACGCTGATGTGGCTGATGAAGTCATGCCCACGTTCCATGCATATGCAAAGTCAGGTACTGTATCTGGACCTGTGCTATATGTCAATTATGGGCGAGTGGAGGACTATATGACACTGAAAGAAATGGGAGTGAATGTGACGAATAATGTTGTATTGGCAAGGTATGGGCAGATATACAGAGGGGACATTGTAAGCAATGCATACGAGGCTGGTGCCACAGGAGTGATAATATATACAGATAGGAAGGACTATGGTGGCGGTGGTGGGGATGCAAAGTGGTTTCCAGACGATAAGTGGATGCCGCCAAGCGGAGTACAAGTGGGATCAGTGTTTACGGGGCCTGGTGACCCTACCACGCCTGGGTGGCCTAGTAGAGGGGCTTGTGAGAGGCTGTCAGATAAAGAGGTGGTCAAAGGAGGGGATGTGCCACTGATACCTTCATTGCCTGTATCCGCAGCTGATGGAGAGGCAATCCTCGGCTCCATTGCTGGACAAATAGCAAATGATGATTGGCAGGGAGGAAAAGATGCCCCCGTTTACAGGGTTGGACCAGGGCCTGGGATTGTAAATCTCAGTTACACAGTAAGTGTCAAAAAGTAGAAACTGTTAAAAGAGTATAATTCTGTACCTTACTCCAAATTTGGATGCCCCATTATAAGAACTGTCAGGTCAGCTTTATGTATTACGCTGTGGAAGTGGGACCAGAACACGAGTCAGTTTAAAACTGCTAAACAGAAGTTCTAATTGTATTTTGCAGGGAAAAGAAGTCATAAGCACAATCCAGAATGTAATTGGTGTTATTGAGGGAGCAGAAGAACCTGATCGGTAGGTTCAAGATTTATCAAATACATAATGTAGACGATCTATGTTACAATGCTTAAACTGCTATATAAACACCAATTAGAACTTCAATATGCACACCACTACAGAAGTCTCAAGAACTTATCAATCTTGAAATCAATTAAAGCAGCTCACCTAATGGTGGTTTAATAATCTGTGTTGCTATAGATTTGTCATATTGGGCAATCATCGGGATGCATGGACATTTGGAGCTGTAGATCCCAACAGTGGCACTGCAGCCCTGCTTGAGGTAGTTGCAGGAATAATGCAAACTCTTGTCAAATGCCAACTAATTCATAAAAAAGAATTCCCGTGTTTTAATATGATAACTAGCCATTCACCTGATTTTTATGAAAAATATAGATTGCACAAAGGTTGCAGAAGCTGCAGAAGAAAGGGTGGAAACCTCGACGAACAATTGTCTTTTGCAATTGGGATGCTGAGGAGTATGGCCTGGTCTCTCTCTCTCTCTCTCTCTCTCAACCCAGCCAAACACAAAAAAAAAATGATCGAACTAATTCAAACCTGTAATTTCCAGGTAGGATCCACAGAATGGGTTGAAGAGAACAGGGAAATACTAGCCTCAAGAGCAGTAGCTTACTTAAATGTTGACTGTGCAGTTACTGGTGCAGGATTTCATGCATCTGCAACTCCACAGCTTGATGAACTAATCAAACAAGCTACTCAACAGGTACCTTGAAAGAATTACTGATAATGCTGGCACCATTAACAACAAAGCAATGACTGCACTTACTAGTATTTAAAACAAAGGCAACAATTATCAACCATAAAAACACCATATGCATCTGATGTTACTCTTCGTAACTGTATAAGCAGCACAGCAGCTATAGAAAGTTAGAAACAAGAAGCACATCATAACAGACTCTAAAATTTCCATTCAGGTTCAAGACCCAGATAACTCATCGCAAACCATCTTCGACTCATGGGCTGCTTCTAGCAATGGTCCTATGGTAAGCATTTCAAAATTACTTTATAGCACAAACTGCTTAAAAAAAGCTCAGAAGTCACAACTAGATTAGATTGCCTTCTTGTTGAATAACACAAGGAATGCATATTCATACATAAACCTCAATAACATATTGCATAATTAGGAAATTGTTATCTCCTAAACTAAATTGAAACTCATGCATGAAGATTGGAAGGTTAGGAGGCGGAGGATCAGATTATGCATCTTTTGTGCAACATGTTGGTGTTCCAGCAGCTGATATGTCTTTTGGAAAGGGTAATAGAAACATTTCTTCTACTGACACCTTTTAAATTTCCTGCTTATGGTTGCTTATACCACCTTATCTAGGTGAGTGGTTCATAACATCTTTTGAGTAATAAAGTTTAGAACTTTGCAAATCCCCTTCGTGATATGGTTAAAAAATCCAACTGAAAGAAACAAACGTATGACCAGGGGAGTGAGAGAGAGAGAATCACCGCAAGCTGCGTAAATGATCTGAAATTAGATCAAATTAATAAATAAACAATGAAGGATTTCAAAGGCTGATAGGCTTGTCATAGGAAATTTTAAGTATACATGCTTTAGGCGTAGAACCCAGCCAGACANCATATGACCAGGGGAGTGAGAGAGAGAGAATCACCGCAAGCTGCATAAATGATCTGAAATTAGATCAAATTAATAAATAAACAATGAAGGATTTCAAAGGCTGATAAGCTTGTCATAGGAAATTTTAAGTATACATGCTTTAGGCGTAGAACCCAGCCAGACAAACCAAAAATGACATTTAAAAAAATCTCTCTCCCCCCCTGTGTGTGTACTTTATTGGTGGTTTAGGGGGAACCAGAACATCTGCAAGCTGAACTAAGAAGCTTAGAAGGATTTATTCTGACAGCAACGTAAGCCACACTTGTGGACATCAAGATTCAAAACCAAATTTTGTTTCTTTTGCTTAGATCATGCTTCTTCTTAAGCAACAATCATGTCCAAAATTATTACTTGATGGCAGTAATCTCTTCTTAACACCCAGGGTCCAAGTGTATGCCCTGGCCAAATTACTAAGCACAAGCCAATGTCATTCCACTTTCCTAATTAGCAGGAAGGACAATGACATGAATGACATAGAACATACTCCAGGCACTACAAGACAAACTATCTTTCTCCATACAAATCTCTAACATGCTACAATCCTATAGAAACTTTACCATAACGAATCAACTTCAGAAAACTAAACTATCTAGCAGATTATGTACAAGCATGTATCTCCACTTATTGTCCACACAAATGCCCTTTCAAACAAACGCACAGGATGCAACAGAAAAAATTGTTCCTTACCTTACTTCAATAAACCTTAAATCCCAACCATGGTGGTCCATGGTCAGGTATGTGGTATAATTTACAAGTTAATCCAGGACAATCACGCAGTTCAGGTTATAGCATACCTCAGCCACCGAAAAATAATAATGTAACTAAGCTGTTCCGTCCACCAAATTCACAAGTTCATGAAATTTTGTCCCACCTGCACTGCTTTATCCATGTTACAGATTAGCATAAACATCACACCTTGTGCCGAGAAAAATATATTAAGTAGTCTCTCACTCCTGAAATATAGTTACCTGTATGAGTACTTTTTGCTGCACAAAACAGAGGTTATGTCGACCTCTGCCTTACAAAGCAGCAATAGGTCCTCAGTGTCGGTTGCAAGGAGCCTTACAGTGCCTTGTTTTAGTCCTCAACATCACTTTACTTCGTAAGCAGTTTCATCATCCCGATTCAAGTTTTCACTGATGACATCTCTTGTCATAAGCATTCATTTCCTGGCCAATGTCATCAACTCCTAAAGTCTAACACACTGCATAAATTTAAAAATCACCTAACAGAAGCATCTCAATTGCAGGTTACCCAGTCTACCACTCGATGTATGATGACTTCATCTGGATGAAGAAATTTGGTGACCCAATGTTTCATAGGCATGTAGCAGGTTTGTTTTCATATTATTTTATCTGATTATATAGAACACTTATATTCCCATACATCAAACAATTGCAAAGGACCCACTATTTGATTGTTGGTTATGGATTTTGGATTTTGGTAAGATGTGTAAAGTGCAAGGCTTTCATTATGTAAATTTCAAACAATAACAACTCAAGCAAAACTGTTAATTATTGTCAATGGCTTTTGTTTGCTTGAAAAAATTTAGTGTCCAAGTGTAGGAGAATAACCAGAGGAGTTCAACATACACAACTAAACAAGTAGTCACATTCATCAAATGAATAATATGATTAAGCCCAGTTGTAAAGGCTTACCTTTCAATTTTTGCTCTACCAAATGGTCATTTGTTATTTTAAAACAGCTGCAAGTATTTGGGGTTTAGTAGCACTTCGTCTAGCAGATGAGGAATTTTTGCCTTTCAATTATCTCTCCTATGCATACGAGCTCCAGGTATGTCTATGGAATTGGAATACAAGAAATATTTAATCTTGTTCTGTGTTTAGGGGAAAATTGAATGCAATAGTACTTTAAATCCTTGAAAACAGAAAAGCGCAGAAGACTTAATAGGTGAAGTATCAGACAAAGGCATAAATGTTTCTCCCTTATTCATGTCAATTGAGGAGCTCAAAAAGGCAGCCTTAAAAATAGACAATGAAATAAAGGTACTGCCTGAATCTCTATGAATCACAATTTTCATACAGCCTTACTTTGTGATCTATGGGTATGATAGAAAAAAGATCTTCAGGCAGAAAATAAAGGGTGGGCATCAGTGTGGAAAAACGACCCATGGAAAGTGAGAGAATTGAATGACAGACTAATGATGGCAGAACGAGCATTCACAGACCGAGATGGACTTTTTGGAAGGTCATGGTATAAGCATTTGGTAAGTTTTCATCTTAAACCAGCAATTGATATCCTCATTGATGCTGATAAAGTTATTCTTTGTTTCCTTCTGTTTATAGCACCCTAACAAAGGCGAAATTGACTAAATGCCATTACAAGAAATTCTTTGTTCCCAATAAACAACGCACAGCAGATTCAACCTTATATACTAGTGTACCAGTGAAAATGTTGTACGAATGCCCCATCTAACTATCATTTTGCCTTAACTCAGATTTATGCACCATCAAAGCACGACGATTATGGGTCTAAATCCTTCCCTGGGATAGATGATTCCATTGAGAAAGCCAAGAGCATAAACACAACAGGATCGTGGCATTTGGTACAACATGAAGTTTGGAGAGTTTCGAGGGCTGTCACGCATGCATCGCTAGTCCTCATTGGTGAATTAACATGACCATTTGTAACATTGTCACTCGCCATTTCGTTCATGCTTTCCTTGTTAAGAGTTGAATCAAATTTCCAAATGTTTTTACAAGTGAAACTTTCTGAAAATTCTGGCAAAGATAATAAAGGGCCTTAGTTTCAAGATCTTATGGACGACAAAAAATAAGGTTGCTGAAAGGTTCTCCCCTGGATTATATCAAACATTTGGAACCCCGACAAAGGTGGCAAATCTAACAACATGAGTACAACCAATTTGGTAAATGTCATGGACAAAAGGGTTGATAGGTGATTACATCATATTTTAACACTTCAGCAAGTGTACATAGTATTCTTTGATATGTTGCTGTAGAAGACATTCAGAAATCTGATACCAGAGTATTTTAAATCCAGAAACTTCTTGTGTATGACTGCTGGTTTAGACATCACTTGGGAGTTGATGAACCTAAGAAAAATGAGTCAGCATAGGCTTGCATAGTGGAAGTTTTTGTTAACTCCATCTTAAATTTAATCGGCCATCAATGCATGATTTCTTAGGATGCAGTTCCCCGGATTGGAGGCACTGCTATGCACCTTGATATGATATCAAAGGATTCCCTCCCCCATTAACAGGCTAAACTGAAAGTATAATTAAATGAATACATAAAAGCCATTGAAATGATGTTCAAAAAATTAACAATAGAAGAATTCCAAAGTAGCTGAGATATGATGGATTCAACCATGTTATCATGTTGGCATGGTAAGTACAAAAAAATAGATATATTGGAACAAATTCCTAGTCTATCAACACTTTTGAGTAACGTTTGCTCATAGAAACATTGTTTATGCATGAATTTCTGATTAAAAAAAAAAAGTAAATTTGCCATTCAAACTAAATGAATTACCTATCCATCACAAAAAGCTTGCATGCTGTATAAATCATGCAAGGAAATGGATTAAACATTGAGAACATGGTTAGAAACATGGATTTCTATTCCTTTTTTTTTAATAACAGGAACATAGACTTCATGACCTTAACAGAATCTAACCATCTAGTCCCACTGCATAATGTACAGGTTGACCTAGCATTTGCACTATATATACAATAAACTACCACGTATAATTAGGTCCTTTACTTCCAAACCTTGATGGCCCCATCTCTACTGCTCGATATCAGAAGTCTCTGGTTCAATTTGACAGAAGCCAAAGAGAGGATAGAGTCACGGTGACAACCTGCAGAATCAGTTGCAGCGGCTGCAAGAACTGCTTTTGAAGTGAACCTGGTCGCCAAAGGTCGCCTCTTTGCCTCCTGTTTGCAAAGATAGGAACTTAGCCCAGCAAATTTCAACAGTGTAGAACACTGAGAATTATTAAAAAAAATTGATTGCCTGACTAAGAAATTCCATAAATATCCACAAAATCACTTCATCAACAGAAGAAGAATAAAAGTAGAGTAAACTTGCAGAACAAATTAACAGATTGTCAAAAGGATTCCTTGTCAATTGTGATTTCCAATGTTTAATGGTGTTAAATAATGAATAAATTAGAAAGTGGAAATGAAGTAACACAAGAAGAATATATCTGAAGGGCTTGTCTTCTTTAGAGAATAGAGAATAAGACCCTCAGCTTTGCATTACAAATCCATTCATTAAGCAAGTATCCTCTCCCAATACTTGCACATTGGGAAAAACCAAGATAAAATGAATGCTAAACTAGAAACAAAAAAGGGTCAAGAAACTAATGCGAAGTGAGTTCTTCTGGCCAATTGTCCAAAGGGACGACTAAATCTGCCAACATATTCACCCTTTTTCCCTTCTTTGCCAGGAAGTTCAGATGTACCACATGTCTATCCTGTTCTCATATTCCAAGGAGGGAACTGTTTTACCATCCCACCAAAAGTTGAATTAAAGTAGCAAAAGATCCCGAATAAATTATTCCACATACCTGCACAACCTGGACACCAAAACTAGATTTTGTTTCATAAAAATCATCATTTCCAACTCCCTTGAAAGATGGCCCACAAACACAATAACTTCGATCTGGACTGCAATATAAAAGAACCAAAGTGAGTTTTACGGGCAAACAATCAGGAGATACCAGATAAACAAATTAGAGAATTATAAAAACCTGCAATGATCCCAGCGACGTATCTTCAAGTCAGTACTCCCTGTCAACAAATCGCCCCCAGGTAATGGAAGCAATGAACGGATGCCAGGAATATGGGGAGGGGGTTCATTCAGCTCATCAACTCGGTACTTTGGATTGACATTTCGTCTTAAATCTGATTTTGAATTTGCCTTATTGGATGGTCTGGACAAGGCCCAAGGCAATTCAGAGTTTTCAGCATCACTGTCATTATTTGGGACCCGCAGTATCTGCAAACGAGATGCAAGAATAAATTTAACAGGTAGCAAATTGATGAAAAAACTGAAAATAGTAAAAGGTAATAGCAATGCAAATTTCTCACCAACATATATGGATCCAGTAAACTAGTCTAGACAATGCCTCTGACCATTCATCCTCCTAATTTAAAAAAAAAAAAAAATTTAACAAATTATTAATCATTTGTCTTCCAGTTTCTTGTATTTCTCTGGAGTCAAGAACTTCATGAAATTATTTTCGGTATCAATTTATCCAAGTTGTCATTCTTTAACTTTATGCTTAAGTCTAATTCTCCATCATCTCCAAGTTTGTCACCATAACAAGCCAAGCTGTCCATTCTTATTTTTGCTGACTTTTTTCAGTAGATACACTTCCCTTGCAACCTGCAGGCAATTAATTTTACCAGCCATTGTTGGCCCTCTTTGTCATTTTTTCCAGATCATACCAGTGAACTCTATCCCCTATGTCACCAACCAATTACCCAATGCTATCAACTTTGTTTTATTTACAGCTTTTGTTGGATAAATGCTATCACATGGATTCTTCACTGAAAATTAACAAAAACAATTGCTATGTACCTGGTGGCAACTCCCATTTTCTGCACTCCAAAGAGACACTTCATTACAACCTGCGGCAACATAAACAAGAGGCCTTGCTGAAGTGGATAAGGATGTATTTGGAGGAGGAACAAAAAGACACATTTTCTCAATAGGGCATGCCAGGGAATACTGCCATGAGTTGACAGGTATACCGAACCTCAGATCCCAAAGAGTAAGCACACCCCTTGACGAGCCAGACACAAACCAATTACCACAAGGGCCTGTTACCATAGAAGAAATGTAACCCTCTTCAGGAAACACTTTAGAATTCCAAGCATTTGAATTTGTTCTCGTATCCCAGAGATGGATCCCACAATTTTGGGTGCTGTACAGAATCATTTGACGTGGAACACTATCACCAGAGTAGTTTAGAAGGCTAAGTATCGCACCTTCTCCAACACCTCTCTTTTTGACATCAGCGATGCCTGAATACTTCTCAACTACATTGCCAAGTCCTCTAGAAATGTAATCAACAGAGAACATATGTATCATGCCATCACAAGCTCCAACGACAACTTGAGCAGACCCCTGCAGCATTGAAATGCACAGTGCCCGGCTTCCTTCCAGGGAGTAAGTTAGCCTTGATCTAAATGAGATGTCCTTCTCCAACTTCCTGGAATCCCAAACCTTAACAGTGGAGTCATCAGATGCACTCACAAAAAAACTGTGGTCTGTTGAAATGGCAATGTCGTTAACAGCAGAACTATGCTCCTGGAGGTGTGCAACCAACACCCCACGAGGCCTCCACCCTGAATCCGGAATGGTGGGTGTTCGTGTGGAAGATGGCAATCCCATGACCTCGGGTGAAGGTGAGGTGTCTTCTGAAGTGATGGAACACCCTTTCATTGTGCTGGACACTCCCATGTCTTGAAACTTGGAGTCAATATAGGCCATCTGATCGGTTTCCTTGTCTTCTACTTCATGTACCACTCTGTGAAATGGTGTGGAGCCATTACCAATGCTGATTGACCCTGAGACGAGCTTCGGCGCTGGAACAGAACTAGCCAAGTTAAACGATTTATTTGCTGGGTCCATCCAAGGCATGGATGATGAACCAAAACCTAAAGGGTTCGGTGGCAATGAAGAATCAGAGGCTGCTGGAGCATTGCCTGCTGCTCGTTTGTTATCATATTTGAAGTAGTACAATGGTATGTTTTCTGATGATCTATCAATGAAGCTATTGGCACCAGAAACTTGTGGGGGCATAAGGCCAGAGAACTGTAACTTCTCTGAGTAAAAGGGATCACGGCTGTCAACTGTGTTAGAAGCATTGCAGATCAAGCTTCCCATAGCTCTTAACTTAGCCTCACTATTGCCACTTTCAGGTAGATCCGGTGGTAGCATTGCACTACCAATAGATTTCTGACCCTGAACATCATGCTGCCTGTCAGTCCAGTACTTCATTGGGTCCAACTCCCTGGCTCCTTTTTGGTATATGTCTGCAGGTTCCAATTGCTTAGACTGTCCTGAATTGTACCATATCTTTCTTTGTCTCTCCAACATGTCTGAACTTCTGGCATTTTCTAAGACTTGGTAAAGTCCCTGCCGTGAGACTGGAGACCTTAGACATGAAAAAAGAGCCTTCTCTGAAGCTAGAGATGCTGGTTGTCTGCGAAGGAAAGGACGGATAACCGGGGCAAGAAAAACATAGGAATCCACCGCACCTAAGCTTTCACTACTAGCTGCAATGAAGGTGACAGCTGACCTCCTTACCCATTGACTAGGATAACATAACAATGGGAAAGCACGCTCTATCATTTGAAGCAATATTCTCTTCCGCAAAAAACCACTTCTGCAGAGAATGGCCAAGCAATCTAATGCATTAACAATGACAGCCTCAGTTCCGTCACTTAAAGCTTGCTCTATGTAAGGTAAAAGATATTCCTCCACACTTCGTTGACCCACAAAGAAGCAGACGTAAACTATTTGCCCATAGAATACTGCTCTGAGCTGCTCATCTCGATCATTTAGAAAAGCAGGGAGGATGGGTAGCACAAAGTCATTACATTGCCTCCGACCGAAGAACCAGCATAGGTTGCCAATATCCTGTAAGAGTGCTCTCCTGATGTTTNATTCATTACTTTGCCTCTGACCGAAGAACCAGCATAGGTTGCCAATATCCTGTAAGAGTGCTCTCCTGATGTTTGGAGTTTGCTTTGGGCCCATTACAAGTTCTTGAATGACCTCAGCTATAGACTTCCTCAATTGTGCAAGTTGTGCATCACTGTTTGGATTCTGTGGTCGTCCCAATTTATCTGTGGATGGGGCCACTGACTTCTGGGGCAGGCTTAATTCATTGAGAACCCCTGCCTCACTCAAGCTTATTGAATGAACTAGAAAGCCATAAGCAGTTAGTGCCAGCTTAGATATATTGCTGGCATAACAAATCCTCACACTTTCTTCAGGATCATCACGAAGCATGGAGAGCATTGGAAGAATGTACTCTGGAAAAATTTTAGCATCACTGGGAGGAAAATCTCTGACTAAAGGTAGAATGTCACACAAAGTCTCTAAGGCAGCACAACGCACAATTGCTGCTGGATCTGAAAGCATCGCAATAACATAAGGAAGCACACGCTGCAATCGATCTTCATCATCAATATATAAGGAACAAGACTTCAAAAGAAGTACAGCCCCTCTCCTCATAAAAGGCAACTTGACATTGCGTATGCAGGAACACAGCAGTGAGGCAATCAGAACCATACCTTCACAGCTCACAGTATCCTGAGGTAATGGTAAAAAAGGCATTCCAAAAGTGTCTGATTGATGATCATAATCAGACATCAACGAGTCCAAATCATAGGCTGTAATCTTTTTCAGAAAGGGATGATCATTTCTCTTAAATACATTGGAGATAGTTTGAAGTAGCTCAGCAGGAGAATGCATGCCACTCTGTTTTCGATTGTGGGAATATACAGAATTGGCTACATCCTCCAGCATCGGCTTCACATCAGTATGGCGATTACTTTGTTTTACATCCCTGAGTAGGGTACTTATATCGCCTAGAAGATCAAACCGATCATGGATGGAGCCTTTCTCCATCTCTTCTCTTTTTCTCAAGGAATCCTTTGCGTGATTCAAATTTTGCTTTGCCTCCATCCGTGGTAATATTTGACCTGTGACACTTGAAGGACTGTGCAGTCCATAAGCATTCTCCTCAGAGACCCCATTGCTCAACATTTGTTTAACTATCTCATGGAAAAATGTCTGGCATATTAGAACCTGCAGCAAGTATTAGAGTTGCTAAGAAAATCTGGGTCAAAATATCACCAAGTCTAAATATTATGACTACAAAAGTTCCTTACCCTGGCATCAGCATTAAGCGGATTCAACAATGAATAGAAATTATGCAGAAACGGTGAGAAGTAGCTGGGAAACACAACACCTGCATAAGTTTGCAGGTAGCTTTCAGCAGAACAACGTGACTCCGGATCTAACTGAATCATATGAAGAATCATCTTACGAATTCCTGTATCTGGGATCTGCACTCATAAGACATGCCGTTTGACAAAGTACTCAGTAGCAAAGGGCATAAGCTAATACAAAACACTGAAGTGAAAATCTAGGCAAAACTTTTTAGCTGAAACATCATTGAAGAAGTTAGTGTACCAACGAAATTTTGTACCTAGTGATTTGGATATATCTAAGGCAGTGTAAAACAAGGGGAAGATCAAAAAACAGAAGTCTAAGCCGAGGGAAAGGACAAACAGCCTAAGAGAATACCTTTTCTAGATGCTGGCTAGGATCATATTGCCCTCGGCGATAAGCAAGTAGTTGAGACAGTTCAAACAGCGGCTGACCTTCGAGGAAAAGCTCCGCAATCACACATCTGAAGCATCAAACAAACCAGTAGAAAAATAAAAGTATTGTAGAATAATGCAGCTATACAAATTGCAATTTCCAAACAAATGTGGATGTGTGATAACAAAGTAAAATGAAACAAAAGATTGGTTTCTATTTGACTCGCTCCAAAAACCAAATTCCAGATTGCATCATGAATTTGTTCATGTTTATGCAAAGACCATTGACAAAAACTCAGTGAGATGTGAAGAACAAGATAAATTGACAGATGGGCAAGTATGTGGATTGAGTTGGATGCATTGGATTTGACAAGATATATTAAGTGACAGATTTAATCCCAGACACTTGCTTCAGTATACCATTATCACTTCGTTCGTCAGTGTCTAGATCATGTAATTCGAATATTCACAGAAATAAGATGAACAAAAATAGAAAGTTGCTGAATTCCGCAACATTCTACATTCAATTGAGTTGTGAATGCAAGTGCTAATGGAGCATTTGTTGGAAGCAGCACCGCATGCATGATGATGGCAGAGTAAACAATGGCAAGAGTGATGAAAGCATGATGATGTCAAAAGAGATGGAAGCCTTCCTCTTGAAGCCTTCAACAAAAAGAGTCATTTGATTCAGTAGAGGCTGTAGAGCTCAAGGCGGTATAGCCAGTGTGAGGTGTACTAAGGCTTCATTGAATCTATCCCAGCCTTCCTTTTTATACAGCGTATACAATCTCTCCAATTTAAAAAGGGGGAGATTTTTTGTATATAAGGCTCTAGAAAACCAAAGTAGTGCTCCACTTCCATCCCACAAGAGAGCCGTGAAATCTGATCTTTCTCGATTTCCACTCGTGTGAGAAAAAGCGATGAGGTTAGTGTGATACAGTCCTATCTTTTCGTAATGATAGGGTCTTTACCATTGGGATTCCACCATTTTTAGGAGTCGCTGTCATTTTTTACATCGATCATTTCTTTTGGTTCCTATTAGATATTATATGGTCAGAGTTAGTCCTCGGCACTTTTTTTTTCAGAGGGGCTTATTATACTAAAAGGTACCACAGTGATACAAATTGGGTCAGCATGTTCACAAACATTATCTCTTATANTAGTCCTCGGCACTTTTTTTTTCAGAGGGGCTTATTATACTAAAAGGTACCACAGTGATACAAATTGGGTCAGCATGTTCACAAACATTATCTCTTATAATTTTGCAAATCATACAGCAATATCAACCAGGCCGCCATGCAGTTCTTCAGCTTTTTTCTTTGTTATTTGCTAGGCAATTCTTCCTTCTTGTTGCACTTTGATCTAAACTAACATGCCACAAAGATATGAATGATCCATACGATTGCCAATTTACTTATATATATATAAACATTGGCGTCCATATATGTATTTGAATTTTGGGATAAGAATGCACCTGTTGCACCAACAATCAAAGTTAATTTTTCCCCAAACTATAATGAGTCTACTGTTAGAAAATGCTCACCCTATGGCAAAGATATCCATAGATGGCTTTAGAGGTGCATCTTGTGCAGCTTGCAACTCTCCTCCATGCTCGAAAAATCTCTGAAAATTAAGCTGTTACTGTCTACGTGACCATGATATTAAAAAAAAGAAAATTCTGGCAGATGATAGTTATTGACTGGCATATATAAGTATGGATATATAGATATAAATATCCCCATTCAATACATGTATCCCCTGTTACTATCCAACAAAATATTTATTAGCATTGCCACTATTACTACAATTACCAACATTTTGTTTGACTTTGAAGAAGTCTATTAAAAGACAAGAAATATTATTCAACAGTCATTAAGTATGAAAGTTCAACAATTTATTTCCTTGCTATATTTATTTTAGTTTGTTCATACACACAGGTGCTTGTGATTCCGCACGACAATGTGTCAGTATTCATGGACACGATGACAAAAATGTGACAATGAAAAAAATCCTTCTTTTTTTTTTTTTTNGGGAGGGGACGGGAGACTTAAACCCTTGACCTCAACAAGGCAAAGCCTTTACAAGACAAGGAGTACCATAGGTGAAAAAAATCCTTCCAATGCTCTTATTTTGATTATGCATAATTCATTAAATGAACTTGAAGGCTGTTGAGAATTCAAATTTGCTTCACTCTAGCATGAATCACCATCATGAGAAAATAGCATATCAGGTGTGACAGAAGCTCAAGGCAAACATGAGGCACAAAGATCTCCAACTGGAAAAACTCTTCCTATACCATGAAACATAGCCTACTTCCTCCAAAACCAGATGGCTGATTGCTGGAGCTGGACATGGAGACAGCCATAATGCCACCCCCAAAGGACCACCAAGGTACTTAAAAAGGCAAGTGGCATTCCTGGTAAAAGTGCCCTGCCCTAGCAAGCACCTACACCTATCAAAAAGCAAGACCTTACTATACAAACAACTGAAAAACACAACAAAAGTCAGCCTCAGTATTCACCCATTTGATGTCATCTGTACGATTGCTCATCACATTGACCCTAAGCCCCACAATAAGCTAAAAGACCAGGATGATCAGCTTATAATCAAAAACTCATCAGAAGTCTCTTGGCAGGTGTCCTCTGCAAACTACAGAGGCCAGCAACAAGAAATTTATCAAGGCCTACACCCACAGGTCTAAAGACAGGCCTGCTAAAGGTTCCAGCAGCTAATGCACATGGAAAGGAAAAAAGAGGAACATCCTGCCAAAACCCTAGATGCCTAGAAGTACTATGATCAATAAACTGTACAAGAAACATATGAATGCACATTNCCCTAGATGCCTAGAAGTACTATGATCAATAAACTGTACAAGAAACATATGAATGCACATTTATGGCTGCCTGCATATACAAGCTTTAATACACAATATCAACCGGGGACATTCTTTTCAAGAACATAGTCCTAGAAACTCCAGTGGATAAGATAATCCTTTTCCCTATNAAGCTTTAATACACAATATCAACCGGGGACATTCTTTTCAAGAACATAGTCCTAGAAACTCCAGTGGATAAGATAATCCTTTTCCCTATCAGTAGTGATCCATCCACATCCAGCATTAACGAAAGCTAACTATGAAGTGGTCGTATCAGAGATACACCAGATGATCCTCCTAATTGCAGTGGGGATCTTCTCTGTACAAACTCCTAATTTTGCATTTTACATCTAGAATTTTTAGGATAAGTGGAACGGTAGAATCTATCGCCTTGGGGATTAAGCTATACATGTGCCATCAACTCACATTGATGACACCATTTGATTAGAACTGCAGGTGGCTATATAGACTTAGTTCTGGGTTGATGGATCACTCACTCTATCTAGTAATAAGTCTAGTATTGATATATCTAACTCGATGATTTATTAACTCCTACGATTGGGAATGAGGAACGTATTCCTACCGCTCCCCCCATAGTCCAAAGCGTGGGGGGCGCAAGAGATGTAGTGACCGTATGACCCAATCAATCTATCTTGTTATATCTTAAAAAACAAAAAATTAGGCTCGTCTTTAAAATCCACAATCCGTTAGAAGAGACTGATAAAAGAAGATAAAAGTGAATTTTCATTTTTAAAAAAAAGGGTGAAGAACCAACCTCAGGTGCAAGATAACATCGCCTTCTTCCTCCGGTGTCAAAGAAAAATGAGAAATCAGAGGGATCATCATGTGGAATATAAGTGGGTTTGAAAGACGCAAAATCAGCAAGATAAAGCCAGTTCCAAGAAGTAACCAGCACATTCTCACACTTAATATCACCTGAAACAATCCACGTTATTTTTTACATGAAAACCTGCATAATACCTGGCATATAAGAAAATTTGAATTTCCTTGTATAACTAATCTCACCATGGCATACTCCATTCTCATGGCTCTGCTTCACTGCATAGAGCAACTGCACAACCACCCGAATGTTAAAGAAAAAGTAACTCCATTTATATCAATTGAAATACTCGCATCAAAGAAAGAGAGAGTGTGTGTGAAAGAATATACCTGAAAAGCTAACCATTTCTTCTCAACAAGGCTCAGGAAAGGTCGAGTACTCAATCGATCATGGAGATTATTGAAGAAGTGCTGCCTCAATAAATAAGCAGCTTTATCTGTTTCTAGCCAAAACTGCAACATTCACCATTTGGACAAATTGAGCACTCTGAGCTCAATTTGGCTAATGATCATAAAAACAGGAAAGGTGGGAAAAATTCATATACAACATTCATATTTTCAGAGGTGAGGCAACTACGGCATCCACAAAATCGAGCCTAGAACAACTATTTGTTGTCATTTGTCATGATGCTTGTCACAGCCACTAATGCTTAGAATATGGCCGCTTTGATATTCAACAAGACACTCATTTATAAATCCAGGCAATAGAATCAGGCTCAGTTGAGTGTAGCTCTTAGAATTAGGGGTGCCTCAATACTGGTTAATCCAAAATTTCATTTGTCATTTTTTACCTCACATTTTCTTATCGACCAACCAATATACCACACTCAAGTATTATTGCAATAAATCAAGACAAAAATTGCAAAATTGGGACCTAGAAGGACCAGGCATTAAGCATAACTTACATAAAAGTCTAGCTTTATGCTTCCAAAAATATGAAATGTAAATTTCCAATTCTAATCGCACATTTTTTTCCTAGCAACCAAACACAGAGCAATTAAAGACAGCACAACAAACTTAACAAACTGTAATTACAAATTGGGACCTGGAAGGGCCAGACGTGAGGGTGATCGAGCGCACTGAATATTTCGCGGATTTGGGCAAGCCGTCGCTCGTACTCGCGAAGATCGATAGAGTCGCCCCTTTTAAAATATACCTTGACGAGAACAAGCCCTTCGTCGTGCTTGCACTGTATCGATTTCAAGAATCGTCCTCGACCTAGGACCTCTTTGAGTACCAAGTTGTACGATGAAGGTAGGTCATGGAGGTAGTACTCCGTCGCCGAGGCTTGTGTCGTTCTCGCAATCTTATTGCCCATAGATTTATACAAAAAAAAAA